ATATAGAACAACCGTTTCCAAGCCTAGAAGCAACAGAGTCTTATCAACGTGATGTAAGTAAAACATGATGTAGGTGGAACATGATAGATATGAAACACTGATGTAGGTGAAACACATCAAGTGATGGGATCAGTCATACAGTTACAGGGTCAACAACGAATAGTTAGGAGAAGAAAAAGAACCCCCCCCCCTCACGCTGTAACACATAGAACTTGTAGGTGCATCTCACTATTCATTCAACAAGGTTTATATTCACTTGTAATTAAATAACTACAGTCCTGGTTTTTGCTGATAGCTTAGAGAGCTGATTCAGGGAAGCTACTGGTAGAAATGTCTCAGAGCATGTTTTACATTCCCATTGTGAAAGCACAAGCAAATACAAGAGGTGTCTCCTCCTAGTAGTATTGTGCTGGTCACCAACTTGTCACCAACTTGTCACAAGTTCCTTTAAGTTTGCTCGGAGAGCAAGGGTTATAGCCTGTTATGAACCACGACAAGTCGGCGACCGGCACAACACCGCAACAGTCACACGGTTGGTGGCCATGACCTTCAACCTTCATCTGCGACCATCCAAGAGTCTCCTACACATTGAGTTTAAGTCTTAGCAGTGAGTAGCTGTCTATTAATTTCGGTTTGTGTAGTCTTGGCCTTAGTTCAGTACCCATAAACGAGGTTCAATCGCAGAGAATACGTACATATACAACAAACATTGCCTGCACACGAGCTATTCATAGCAGAAACCTATCTCCAGTCTATGAATGCGCGCGATTACACTCCAGCAGGGTCATAACACTTATGCCAAGCTTCCCCATGCGTGAATCGACTCAGATCCAGCTGTAAACCGTCATTCGGGATCACCAAACCATTGCCCGGGGCGTATGTCCGCGATAGGTCCATATAGTAGATCGGGACCCAGAGCAGCAACTGACCTTCAGGACCAATAACCCAGCCCTCCTGATCGGGTAAGATAGATGAAGGTGGGGAGTCTCCCCAAAACGAAGACGAAATATGTAAGGCATGTGTCGGATTGGATGAGAAGCATATGGGGCGATGACACAGAACAGCAGCATCAATATTCGAGGTTTGGTTTGAACTATGGAAGTCGCAAGTGCAAGCCATTCGCCGACTCAACTGTTTTCTGCGATGATCTAAGTCTCCTAGGGCTGGCGTGTGTTGAATCAATTGGGGCCCTCTTTTGTGTCTCCAGTCTGCTATGCTGCATAAATAACTAAGGATGCGTGAGATGAGTGGGGTCTGTAGGTTCGTGATCGCGGATGGCGTTAGATTCGGCGGCATGTCATCAATCTCGGCGGGAATTGGCGTCTCACACAGGCGTACAACTTCATCTATTGGGGTCACGACTGCTACACAGTCAGGCTTATCAGTGAATCTCTAAACACTACTATGGGATAAACACATACGGTTGATGATATTCCACACTCGAATGATCTTGTCGTGCGAGCCGGACACGATTTGCCGTCCATCATGCGAGATTGCGATGGATCTGATTGAGCGTGTATGACCTTCAAGAGGTAAGCCCAGTTGCTTCCCTACATCTGCGTCCCATACTCGGATGGTTTTATCAACCGAACCAGATACGATCCGCCGCCCGTCGTGCGAGATTACGACAGACAAAACTGACTCTGTGTGACCTTCGAGAGGCAAGCCTAGTTGCTGACCCATGTCCGCATCCCATATTCGGATAGTCTTGTCAGCTGAGCCAGACACGATTCGCCGCCCGTCATATGAGATTGCGACAGATCTGACCGACTCTGTATGACCCTTCAGAGGTGAGCCCAGCTGCTCCCCTGTGATTGCGTCCCACACTCGGACAGTCTTGTCATCGGAACCAGACACGATTCGCCGCCCGTCGTGTGAGATTGCAACAGATGTGATGCAGTCCATATGACCTTTGAGAGGCAAGCCTAGTTGCTGCCCCGTGCCCACGTCCCATACTCGAATGGTGTTGTCATACGAACCGGACACAATTTTCCAGCCATCGCGCGACATTGCGACAGATGTGACCCAGAGGGTATGGCCCTCAAGAGGTAAGCCCACTTGCTGTCCTGTATGTGTGTCCCACACTCTAATGGTCTTGTCATACGAACCAGACACGATCCACCGTCCATCGTGCGAGATCACAACAGATATCACCCAACCTAGATGGCCTTTGAGAGGCAAGCCCACTTGCTGCCCCGTAATAACGTCCCAGATTCGGATGGTGTAGTCATCTGAACCAGACACGATTCGCCGCCCGTCATGTGAGATTACAACAGATGTGATGCGGTCCAAATGGCCTTCAAGAGGCTTACCCAGTTGCGGTCCTGTGTCCGCGTCCCAGACTTGGATAGTGTTATCATGTGAACCAGACACGGTTCGCCGTCCATCGTGAGAGATTGCGACAGATGCGACCCAGCCCGTATGGCCTTTGAGAGGCAAGCTGAGTTGTTGTCTCGTCTCCGCGTCCCACACTAGGATAGTCTTATCCCTCGAACCAGACGCAATTCGTCGTCCATCCTGCGAAATTGCGACGGATGTAACCCAGTGCTTGTGGCTTTCCAGAGGTTTGCCTAATTGCTGTCCCGTATCCGTGTTCCACAGTCGAATGGTTTTGTCGTACGAGCCAGACACGATTCGCCGTCCGTCGCGTGAAATCGCGACAGATGTAACACAGCCCGTATGACCCTTAAGAGGTAAGCCGATTTGCTGTCTTGTGTCCACGGTCCATACTCGGATAGTATTATCGTACGAACCGGACACGATCCGTCGCCCGTCGTGCGAGATTGCGACGGATGTGACACAGTCTGTATGACCTTCGAGCGACAAGCCCAGTTGCTGCCCCGTGTTAGCATCCCAGACTCGGATAGTCTTGTCAGCTGAACCTGACACGATCCACCGCCCGTCACAAGAAATGACGACAGATGTAACCCAGCTCATATGACCTCTGAGAGGTAAGCCCAGCTGTTGCCCTGTATCCGCATCCCAGATCCGAATGGTCTTGTCCCTCGAGCCAGACACGATTCGCCGCCCATCGTGTGAGATTACGATAGATCTAACTGAATTCGTATGACCTCTAAGAGGAGGGCCAAGTTGCTGCCCCGTGTCCGCGTCCCAGACCCGGATAGTGTTGTCAAATGACCCAGACACGATTTGTCGCCCGTCATGCGAGATTGCAACGGAGCAGACCTCCTCAGTATGCCCGTAGATCACTTTCTGAAGTGATGGCCACACCTTCATCGATCCAGCCCAGATTTTGATCGCCCCGGGAAACTTGGCTATGAGTCTTTGAAATGTCAGGCATAACGTTGGGGCAGATGGGAGAGCCGAAAGGTAAAGATGCGGCGTGCTTCGCAGAATTGTTGCCGTAAACTTCTGTACAAATTGATCTATATCCGCAATGAGACTGCTAGCCCGTGCATTGTCATGACACTGTCATGATGATGTTAACTTTGTATCAGCTAGGTCAAACAAGCGACGCACCTGGAACCAGGGAATTATCGAAGACAGTGCTGTACCAATCAGAGTCTGAGTGAGACTCAGCACCTCGAGGTAGAAGAGTATGCGCTCATTGGCGAGGAAGTGCTCGATTTCTGCCGCAAGATATGGCTCAAATCTCGTTGATTTGACATGGGAGGTCCAAAAACGGCAAGCATACTGCAACTCTGGAGAGATATACTTTACTATGCGTTCCTCAAGATCAGTCACGGCTGAATTTGGAAGGTAAGAGTTCTCTAGATGGCAAATATTGAAATGTAATTCGTCTTTCATGACGCGAAGCGAACTAAAGGCCAAACTTTGGTGGTGGATCGCGGACACTTCAACAAAAAATTCGCCACTCCGACCTTTGTCAGTTAGGAAGTCATAAAAGGATGCATGTAGTGGTCGAATAGGCGTTTGGTCATCAGAAATGCCAGTGAGGAGCGCTCCTAGAGGGCGTATTACCGATTCTACATCCGCGCCATCCTTCGAAGAAATGTGTCGCCGCATTGTGGTCAATGATGCTCTCGAAAGCGGCTCCAATAGTGCGAGAACTTGTCCCATAACAGAACGAAACACAGGAAGAGCATCCACATGCTCTTCAATGGGCATGGCTTCTGTCAAGATCAGCCTGTACATCTTGTCCAATAGGTTTTTTTGGGTGGACGTTCCTGCGATTACAGCATCGTAGCGACTCCTGGGATTGGGCCCTATTGAACTTCTTTTCGTGATATATTCACATGAGAGGCGAGCCCATTCGAAGATACCGTCCGACTTCCGTGCAAGCATCGCGTAGTCTTGTACCTGAAAGACACGTAGATCTCCTAGTTTTACAGCGACATACTGCTCCACATCACGTCCAGTGGACTCTGGTGCAACGTCATCCAACGAGACGTGCTTGATATACTGCTGATCGTGAAGAGCGTCGTAAATGTCGGGAATGGGACGAGCGGTGATGAGTATACGGAAATTCGGAGGGAAAGGGTTTGAGGATATAGTGTGCTTGCCAGAGAACAGCTGAAGTAATAGCTCACGGGTACCCTCCTCACCGCTCTCGTCCAGAGCATCAATGACGATCAATACGGGTGTGCGAGTCGCATCTGACATTGCTCTGAGTGGTTCTATGATTAGCTTTGTCCATTGTTGCGTAAGGTCCCTAGTATGGCGGAGCTCATTCTCTTCGTTTAGTGTACGCGCCAACGCCCGACGTGCGAGAGGGCTACGATGAGCCAAATCTATCGTGATGGTGCTAAGTATCTTGCTGTGGTGATCCCCCTTTCGTGTGCGATCAAAGCAAAAGCAAGACCCGAGATTTCCACGTTCATCCGCCCAGCGGGCTATAGTATGCGCAATCGCTGATTTGCCCTTCCCGGCCATCCCGGACAACCAGAACACTTTCTTCGAATCCTCTCGCGTGATATGAATCCAGTCTTGGATTTCCGAGAGGACTTCCCTTCGACTACCAGGAAGACATTGCTTGGATTCATTTACTCCAGCTGCGCTGGTATACTCCAAGCCGCTCAAGTCGATGTCGAGAACTATATTATAGAAGTTGGATATCACACACTGTACCGAAAGGACATCGATCTTACGTACCACCTCTGTAAACGGTAGGCGACTTCTCATTGAAAGTATGGCGCCGGATATCCTGCATGAAACTATTGAGGATTTCTTGAAAGTGCTGAACGCTTGCGCAAGTTTCACGATCGGCATCCTTGCCCAATTTATTCCCTTTGTATCAAAATTTAGAAATGCAAGATGAGAATTTTCTATAGCAAACCTACAGAACACTAATTTCTCCGAATAGTGAGTTATAAAATCGGCACATTCCAATAATTGTCGCGCCAGCTTCTCCACAACAAGTTCCGCTGCAATACGACAATCACCAAGAAATTCTTTATCAGCTACCAATTCACCATAGATATCCGCTATAGACTTGAGCAGATCAAACAACTCCTCATGTCGATGGACATGAGTGAGAATCATCTGTTTAATTGTCAATAATCTTAACTGATCCAGAGTGTGACATAACCGACCTCAGACGCACACTTGAAGATGTCAAAAATCGGCGTCGTGGGTACATGAACCTTCACCAATGATCAGAGTCGGCAGTAACACCTAACGCATGAGAAATCACACCTCTACATTTGCGTCAATCGCAGACTTGAAATCCGCCAATGGCTTAAGCGATGAGGCCGGGAAAATTGGAAGACTTGCAGCCGCTGAAGCTAAACGCTCTCCGTCACTAGTGTGAGCGCTTGCATCAGGATCAACATGTTGTATAATCTGCCAGCAAGCGTGAGCCATGTGAGTGTGCAACAGACCAAAGTCATACTTTCCAAACACTTCGACGATCCGGAGACCAGTGATGAAGTTCAATCTGGTTTCGTGATTAGCAATGGCACTGAGAACGTACAGTGCAGGTATACACTCACCGGAGTCTCGTGGGACTGATCAATGAGATGCCAACAGAGCTCTCCATGTCGGATGCTAATTGAGAGACGTTACGAGATGTAAACGATCACCAGTGGCTAGAATAAAATTTCCAACATACAAGTAAGCATCTGGTCCGAACTTCTCTTCCTCTGCCTTCTCAATAAACCACCAATACTCCCTATCAGATCCATCCACGTGTGTTTCAATCCTGGCTGAAGGTGGGGCGGATGCGGTGTATTCAAACTCCATATTCTTGACCTGATACCGATCGTCAGTGCTGGGGACGAGTCTCCACTACACAATATTCCCAGTAGTCAGTGCGGTAACAACATCATGGACTAATTCACGGACACCGCACCAGCTCTGCTTTGGGAACCTCAGACAAGTTCGGAACGACGCATATCAATGGTTCGGCGTCGTTATTGTTGCGCATCTTCACTCTATTACGATAGCGAGCATTTGTTATCGTAACCACGCCAGATAAATGGGGTGTCCCATCGTCCATCGAGTAGCTCAAGCGGATCAAAATCAGATAAAGCCAGTCTGTTTGTAAATTAACTCAGCAACACAAATAGGGCACAGTTATAGAATAGGTGCGCCAGCGGGGCTGTAGAAGAACAGGTACCAGATAGCTGTTGAAGGACCAGTGAATAAATGGGTTGTTAGGCGCTGCCAAGAGAATTTTGCGTGGGCGATTGCTGCCTACATCCTTAATGATTCGCCCCATGATAGGAAAGTTACAGCGCCCGTCGGAGGAAATACTACATCAGCCGGCGATAATGGCACGCTGCATACACAAGCATCTTGCTTCCAGTCCTTTGAATGCGATGAAGTTCCGCATGATAGATATTGTCTTTATACGAAGATGGCGTGATCCACATATGTAAATATTCATGTGACTCGGACTCGAATCAATTATGAACTAAGAGCTATGCAGATTAGTACTGTGGCTTGAGATGATGCATCTGGATACTACTCGCCGGCTTCCATAAAGTGCTACTGGTAAAAGAGCATCCAAGCATGGTTCATGATCAGCAGAAAGCAGTTCTTATCAAGTTACAGTAAGCTGCAGGTGATATATAGCTTGTTGCAGGGTGTCGTCTGCGCATTGGACCATAGCCAACTCGGAGGTGGCTCGGAGGTGTCATGGCGGTAAGCAAATTCGACTACATGGGCGCTAATTAGATGTTCCCGAGTCTGTTCTCGCCGAGAGCAATGGCGAGCGACCCTGCGGCTGGCGCCCTACTTGAAGCTCAAACTTGAAGGAGTCAAAGGTCGCATATTCTGGAAATACGGTGATACTCTGCACATCAAGTTCTATCATAATCCTTGATATACGAGCTACGCGCTGCTTCCTTCATCCCCACCCCATCCTTTATTCAACTTCACCTTGCGGGCCAGAACGTTCACTAAAGTACTATAGCTAAGCAGTACTTCTATCAAACAAGACGCACAACTAATTGTCTGGGAGTATTTAGGAACTCGCTTGAATGCATGTGACCTTGAATCATGCAAGTGCCAGCATTATGGGCTACAGACCTCCTGTCCCAGCCTTAGCGCGCAATTAGCATCCAACTCGGAATAGATATCCATGACGTGCCGTTTTTGCTTCAGGTTACAGAGTACACAAATTTTACAGTGGGCCTATATACAGATACACGAATAGCTTTATCCTCAGCCAATCAATTACAGGCTATCTGAATCATAACATTCATTCCAGGCTTCTCCATGTGTTAATCGACTGAGATCCAGCTGCAACATCTCATTAAGGGACACTAAAGTGTTCCCCGGAGCAGGCTTCTGTGACCGATCTATGAGCTGGGTCGGGACCCAGTACAGCAGGCAGACTATCAGTTGTGTCCCACACTCCAATTGTCAGGTCGTCTGAATCAGACACAATTCGCTGCCCATCGCGCGATATTGCGACAGATGTGACATATGCTGTATGGCCTTCAAGAGGCGGGCCCAGTTGTTTCCTCGTATCCGCGTCCCACACTCGGATGGTCTTGTCATACGAACCAGACACGATTCGCCGATCGTTGTATGAGATTGCGACAGATCTGACAAGCTCCGTGTGGCCATTGAGAGGCATGCCCAGTTGCTGCCCCGTTTTTGCGTCCCACACTCGAATGGTCTTGTCAGCCGAACCAGATACAATTCTCTATCCATCGTGTGAGATTGCTACAGATCTGACCAAGTGAGTGTGCCTTGTGAGAGGCGGGCCAATTTGCTGCCTTCTGCCCGCATCCCACACTCGGATGGTCGTGTCAGCTGAACCAGACACGATTCGTGTCCCATCGTACGAGATCGCAACACATTGGACCCAGTGTGTGTGGCCTTTGAGAGGCGAACCTAGTTGCTGCCCTGTGTACGCGTCCCATATTCGAATGGTCTTGTCAGCTGAGCCGGATATAATTCGCCCCCCGTCATGTGAAAATACGACCGCTCTGACCCAGCTGTTGTGGCCTTTGAGAGGCGAGCCAAGTTGCTGCCCTGTGTACGCATTCCATATTCGGATGATACTGTCAGATGCACCGGAGACGATCCGCTGCCCATCCTGCGAGATTGCGATGGACAAGATCCAGCCTTTATTGCGTTTGAGAGGCAAGCCTAATTGCTGTCCCACGTCTGCATCCCATACTTGAATGGTCATGTCATACGAACCGGACACGATTCGCTCATCGTGCGAGATAGCGACAGAGGTGACCCAGCCGGTATGACCATGAAGCACTTTCTGCAGAGATAGCCCTTTATCCACCGACTTAGTGACGGTTCTAATCGCACCAGGAAATTTAGCAGTGAATCTTTGAATTGCTTGGGTCGCGGTCGAGGCAAACGGTAGAGCTGATAAATAAAGGTGGGGTGTACTTCGTTGCATTGTCGTTGTGAACGTTTGCGCGAATTGTTCCATGTCCGTTATGGCATTCCAGGCCTGAGTACTGTTCCCATAATCCTGTAATAATGGTGTTAAATCTCCTGGATACCGGACTAAGGATCGACATACCCTGAACCACGGTACAATCGATGCTAGCGCCCTTGCCGTACCGCTAAGGCTCTGGGTAAGACTTAACACCTCGAGGTAGAAAAGCACGCGCTCATTGGCGAAAAAGTATTCGATATCCATTGCAAGGGAAGGCTCAAATTTTGCTCTTTTGATGAACCGTCCAGAATTTGCAGGAGTATTGCAACTCCGAGGAGATGTACCTCTCTACGTGTGCCTTCAAATCGGTCACAGCTGAGTTGGGCAGGTAAGAGCTCTCCAGATGGCAAATATTGAAACAGAGTTCGTTTTTTCATGACGCGGAGTGAGCTCAAGGCCAGACTTTGGTGGTGCGTCGCAGAAATTTGTATGAAAAATTCACCGCACCGACCCTTGTCCATTAGAAACTCGTAGAACAATGGGTGCAACGGCCGAATGGGTGTCTTGTCATCCGTGATGCCGGTGAGAAGCGCCCCCAGAGAGCATATGACCGACTCCACGTCCACGCTATCCTTTGGAGAAACGTGCCTTTGCATCGCAACTAACGATGCCATTGAGAGTGGTTCTAGTAATGCCAGTACTTGTCCCATCACCGCGCAAAACACAAGAAGAGCATCCAACCGTCCCTCTCTCTGCATGACCTGCGTCAAAATGAGCTTATACATATCATCCAATAGGTTTCGTGTTCCAGAAGTCGCAGCGATTACGGCATCGAAGCGAATTCTAGGATTGGGCTCCATTGACATTCTATCCGTGATATATTCGCAGGAGAGACGAGCCCATTCAAAATTACCGTTCAACATTTGTCCTAGTGCGACGTAGTCTTCCGCCTGAAAAACGCGCAAATCTGCCAGCTTAGCAGCGACATACTGCTCCACATCACGTCTGGTCAATTCTGGTGGAACGCCATCTAAGGAGACGTGTTGAACATGCTGCTGATAACGAAGAGCACAGTAGATGTTGGGAAGTGGACGAGATGTCATAAGTACGCGGATGTTGGGCGGCCTCTCAGCAGCTGCGGAAAGCCCCTGAAGTATCAGCTTACGGGTATCCCCCGCGTCGCTTTCGTCCTGTGCGTCGATAATAATCAATATGGGCGCACGAGTGGCCTTACAAGCTTCCTTAATTGGTTCCATGATAAACTTCTTCCATTGCTGCGTGGGGTCTCCGGTATATCTGAGCCTATCATCTTCGTAGAGTCGCGCCAATGTCCGACGCACGAGAGGGTTACGATTGACCAAGTCTATCGCGATGGTACTGAATATCTTGTTGCGGTGGCCCCCCTTTTGCACGAGAGTAAAACAAAAACAAGACCCAAGACTTCCGCGTTGACGCGACCACCGGGCTATGGTATGTGCAATTGCTGATTTGCCAGTTCCAGCCATCCTGGACAACCAGAAAACTTTCTTTGCATCCTCTTTTGTGAACATGGTCAAGTCTTGTATTATCGAGAGTACTTCCCCTCGACTACCGAGGAGACATTGCTGGGATGTGTGTATTCCAGCTTCGGTTGCATATTCCAAACCATGAAAGTCAATATCCAAGGCTATATGGCGAAAGCCAGACGTTAAAATGCCTCAAAAGCGGCAGTAAATCTCACGTACCTGCTCTGTGGATGGGAGACGGTATGTCACTGAAGGAATGGGACTGGATGTGCTGCATAAGACTACTGAGAACTCCTTGGAAGCGCTGAACGGCCACGTAAGTTTCAAGCCCAATTTCTTTGCCCAATCTAGCCCCTGTGAAGCAAAAATTACAAATACCAAACAGCAATAATCTCAAGCAGACTCACAAAACACCATCAACTCAGCATAATGAGGTATGAAATCGGCACATTCCAGTAACTGTCGCACCAGCGTCTCTGTGACAAGCTTCGCGTCGACAGGGGGATTGTAGACAACTTCCTTATAGGCCCCCATTTCATTGTAAATATCCGCTATAGACTTGACCATATCGAACAGCTCGCGATGTCGATGAACACAACCAAGAACCATCTGTCTCATTCATATATATATCGATCTGAACGTAGAAAGGAAGTGAACGGCGGACCTGGGATGCACACTTGAAGATCTTGAAAGCTGGTATCATGAACTCATGAACCTTCAACCATGGCGAGACTTAGCGGTAATGCCTTAAATGCGAATCGTCGTACCTCCATATACGTGTCAATCACGGAGTTGAAGTCCACCAAAGGTTGGAGCGAGGAAGCCGGAAATGTCAGAGGACTTGCAATCTCATATGAACAATCTCCGTCACTCGTGTGAGTGTTGGCATGAGTGTCTATGTGTCATATAATCTGTCGGCAAGCGTGAGCCTCGTGAGTACAGAAAATATGGGACATCATGCCTGCCACACGCTTCGACGATCCAGAGACCAACGTTGAAGTTTAATCTAGTCTCATGATTGGCAATCGCGCAGAGAAAGTACAGTGCAGATGTATATCTCACCGGAGTCTCATTGGACTGATCAGTGAGATTCCAACAAAGCTCTCCATGTCGAATGCTGATTTATACACAACACGACATGTCAATGGTTATCGGTGGTTGGGATAGAACTTGCGACGTGCAAGTAAGCATCTGGTCCAAACTTCTCTTCTTCTGCTTTGTCAATAAACCACCAATACTTCCTATCAGATCCATCCACGTGTGTTTCGATCTTAGATGAAGGTGGAGCAGATGCGGTGTAATTGAACTCCATATTCTTGACCTGATAGCAATTGTCAGTGCTTGGGACGAGTTTCCACTACACAATCGCTGTTACGATAATACTGCGCTTCATGATTTACCCTAGTATAGTGGCCGGTAGAAGTAAAATGTAAATGTAGGTGTCTGCGAACTAATTAGCGACTAGGTCATACGATGGTGATCAGCAGACGCTGCTACTCCCTTCAATGCAGCTGATTCCATGTTTTGCTGTTTCCAAGTGAATACGGTGTATTTGGTGAACACGATTGTCTAACTCACTCGCGCTGAAGTGCTTGCAGCGAGGTATGTTGTAGCAAGGAACAATGGCTTCACATGATGATCCGGGTACCTTCAAGCCCCCATGAAGTGTCAACAAGCGGCCATTGAGAAGGATTTCGAATCAACCCTAGCAATGCCGCGCGACTGATACACAGCATTTCCGGGCTGGTTGCTCTTGCAGATAATCAAGCAAGATGTCGCTGTCCGTTTGTGGCCGATTCAAAGCCTGAGATCTAGTGAGGCCTGAAGAAGAGAGTCGCGTCGAAAGCGTGGTGATCAAGTTCACCGGCAGCGTGACGTGCTACCACTTTAAGTCGGGAACCAAAAGTCTGCTTCCGACCTGCCTTGCTCATAGAGTTGAGACTCGGATAACCGCTAGTTCAGGTCGCCCACTTTCCTAGGTCCACATGTCAAGGCTTTGAAGAATCAAGTCAGAGAGGATGCAGTTATTGCACACTCCAAGAGCTACCGAGAGTGGCAGAAACTCAGAGACTACAATTTAGCCAAGCTATAATCAGGATATATGCTGGCCCCAGGATTGTGTGACGTCGACCTCGAAACACATCTGCTACTGCTAATATAACCCCTCGTCGAAATCTCGATGGCAAGCGAGTCTACGAGGTCAATGCTCCTATGTGGCTTGTGACGACATTCAATCCAAGTCTACACCAACTCGACGCTCTCCCGAACCTGATCGTCCGGGGATCCGAGTAGTTTGGCTGTGAGCTTGCGTCTGCACAGTCCCGCTGGTGGGTCGAGAATAGAGCTAAACGTGGGGCCAAAAAAAGCCAGGCCAGCTCACCTTTCCTGGACTCTAGATAAGGTGGACACTGTCTCCTCCTCAGCCACGCCCTGTATCTTGTTATAGCGACGTTCAATTTTCCACAATGAGACAGTTATGTGGACCTGGAGTGAATAGTGGCTGTGGGCAAGTGTCGGGGCGAATTGCGTGAGAACTCACCAGCAAACAATCTGGTTCCGAGAACATCGGAGGAGGAACGCCGGTACCTCCTCATCATCTTTCTATGCAGCGGATGAGAGCGGATGCGGCCAGCCCGGACCACCGACAGTTAATGAGCGCGTCCGCCAAACACCACGACTGGCGCTTTCGCAGGCCGCCAGTGTCGAGAAAGGCAAAGCTAGGAAAAGCTTCAGGATTGAAAACAATGGTCTTAGGCAGATCGGGCTTACTGGATACGCAAATTCTCACCTAGGAACATCCATTTTGTCAAGAAAGCCGTTGTCCAAATCCAAGATCACGATGCAGCGGGAGCATGATAAAGGAAGGACTATAATCAGAATGCGACCGTTATCCTTGGTGTATCCGGGAAATTCAATCGATATGGTGGATGCATGATGATATCAGCCGCTGCCAGTACATGCTTTCATGGGGCGGTATCAATTGAAACTCGCCTCGGATCGGCTTTACCGACCTTTTGACTAACACGTGTGTTCTCAGTGATGCGGCATTCCCCACAAACCCCAATTGGAGCCAAGAGAACATCCTATATGTGAAGATCCCGAGCAAGGGCATCCGCATGGTGAGCAGAAAGAAGAATGTCTGCGCAAATACGACTGATCTGCACACGAATTAATAAGACCTGAAGAGTCATAGCGTTCCTCCTTCAAATATAACCTGTTGGTACAACTAGCGCAAACTCCCTGATGGACAATTGCTCATCGCACTTTCTGTATAGGATGATTCAGATAAACCTTGTGACAGATCAAAGAACGAGTGCTGTTGACATGCTGTCATGACTGGTGTCCGAGAACCATTCTTTTAAATAACTCACTCACGTTCGACCACCACGTTATAAGTTATCTCCCAGGAATTGAAGTCTTCATGTACCACAGGCTGTGACAGGACTGCTACTTCTCGATTCTAGGACTCTAGTACGCTTAGATATGATTGAAAGTGAACACATCATAATATAAGTCACATACAATGCCGCAGGCAAAGAACACAGCGCTGCTTCCCTGATAATTTTTTCCGTTCTATGAGCGTACAATACCCTTCCAATGCTCTTCTATTGAGAGAATCTGGATCCTAGACTCCCACATACCGCGTTCTGCCACGATCCCTCTTCCTCCATTCAACAATTAGCTCGCGATCGGCTCAGCAGATGAGATAATAGTCTCCTGTGAGCAGGGTAGATACTTCCTTCACCCTTCGCTCTTGCGGGCTTCGGATATCCGTATCTGACGTTCGCTATCAGTTGCCCCCCTGTCGGGTGGTTGCTATCGATAGGCATCTGCCGCGTCCATGAACGCTCCTTGTCGCACAAAAACCTTTTGCTGAGGGAGTAAATTCTACATGAATTCTGCCGCAATGCCGAATCGCCAATGTGAATAGCGCGGGCGGAATCCAAATGCTGGCCGATCACACTTGATGAATGCTGCAAAGTGTACGACCGGATGCACCTTCGGGAAGAAAGACAGACAACAAACAAGACGAATGCCGCACCCTGAAGATCTGAAGTATGGGTTATTCGAGACCATGAAGTTGACGGTACGCCACAGACGCGATCAAATTTCACGCTCCGCCTCCACACGCCCACCGTAATTTAGAGTTGCGCTTCAAAAAGACGACGACCTCCCGACAAGATCCCCGGCGGCGTCAAAGACTAATGAGAAACTCAATCGCACCGAACGCCCGATCAGTGGTTATGCTCGCCGCTGCGCACCGGAAGGTGCTAGTCTTCGTTGCTGGTATTTGCGACACTCTCTACTCCATCATCTATCTCCATTTTTCCAGGGTCGACAATTATCCCATTCTCCACATCGCGCCCGCAGATTGTGGTCTCACTGCTTGGCTACGCTGAACTTATACTGTGCGCCTAAAGATGGGGGCGATATCTTTCAGACGTCCCCTGGAGTTTCCGTTAACAAATTGCTGCTACTTCGATGCCATTTCAGTCGCGACGAATCCCGCTGTTCTCGTCCTTTTAGAGCGAAGTAGTTCGTCTTTACGTCCTCAATGGTTTCCGTTCGTCTGAGTATTCACAGCAGTCGTCTCCCCCAGTTCCACTCTCAGCAATCCGTTTCCGAGGTCCGAAGAACATGATCAACACAGGACCATCCAGAGGCCGATATCCGGACGAGTTGAATTCATACCGGACAATTTGGACCACGGGACAAAGCTCTACTTATCCTGAGTCATCAAAAGCGGAAAGACATTCGCCATATATGCGCTCTGCGAACTTGGACCCGTGGCTGGTGCCCAGAGACAAGGCGCATGATGCGTTGTCAGCCTTATGATGAACTCAAGTGACGATTCACCTATGAAGAACGTCGAAGATCTATACTGGGCTTTGCTGAGTTGTGGAATCGGTATTGCCATCAGCGCTGTAGCCGACGAGCTTTGGGACGCACACTTGGGCTTCCCAGACGGGTAGCGTGTTTCGTCCGGGACGTCATCACCGGAATATCAGTGCAAACATGCTTCCGGTTGTGGTACTTCATCTTTGTACCATGCAAAGAGCAGATGATAATCGACGCCGTCGGTCCTCCTAGACATATAATCTTCCGGACGGGTTGTCCATATTTAAGGCGGCCATAACTACCTGACGCGCACTCACCATTCATACCTCCTACTCTCGCATCTGCAACTTTTACTATGTGCTACCACCTCCTTACCTACAACGAGTTCGGGTGCGGGCACCAGCACATGGACCGCAGACACTATGTGAGTGCTTGCACTCTTGCTCGTCTGCCCGCAGCTTAATAACGCCACTGTGTGTGCCGTTCTCAAGATCGACTGCAACGGACGAACTTGTCGGCTGAGCAAGCTCCACGATCTTATCGAGCATAATTGCGAGAGGGAATGCGTTACGACGTACGTCCTGATATTTGCTTTTGCGTTGTTTGTTAGCCCAGACGTTTGGTTTGTTCGTCTTGGGATTGTAGTCTCCTTCCCGATCAAGCTATTGTGATGCGGAAGATTCCCCAACACTGTCATGAATGTCTCGGAAAACCCGCGCCACAAAGGAGACGAGGGGATGAATGAGACAAATGACATCTCTGATGAAAGCGTGTCGGATGATATCGGATTCGTTACAGTGAGTGGAGAGGTGCGGATAAATGGCTGTGCGGCTACAAATGTACTGTTGTGCTATTGCAATGTGTACCCCATGAATGTCTAAATTTTTGCGCCTCCTGGCGCCCCGGCTGAGCACAACTTCGGAAAGTATCAAACTGAGCTGTTGCAAAGTTGCCAGAAAGGCGAGTTCTACTGGCCTGATCGACAACAAATTGATTTCTAAAACGATGGCAGAGATTCATTCGGAGGATTTGACAACTGGGTTGAGATGGTCTGCTCGTTAAACATTCGTTCGTGCCAGGTTCGGTCATCTCCATTTCGGTGTTCAGACTATCTTATCGTGCCAACCAACGATAAAAGCATTACAGAAACGGGCTCCACTATTCCAAATTGATTGTGGAGAGGATGGACCCCTGGTACCGAATGCGATCAGGTTGGGGCTGGTAACGGCTGAGTGCGAGGGGCAGGCTGTGAGATGTCAGCTCACAATTATTTGTCTTCATCACTGTGGCCACCACCATCATACCCAAGTCTGAGCTTGAATAGTTCCACGCAGGCTGCGTCGCTGGGGATGTGATCTGTATAGTAGAAGACGGAACGTGCCAGCAGCTGGATAAACGACTCCAGATTGTCATCTGCGTTGTGAATGACTTGAAGCCGCTTCGGAAGATCTTTATAAAACATGAAGTAGAGTGTGCCCTAGAGAGGAGGTTAGCGATGTGTGGTTCTTCACGGCAGTCGCCACTTACCATTGTCCTCCAGCTTGGTGCGATGATTTTTAAGAGTACTTGTGCATTGGGATGTTCATCCGAAATACCTTGTCTCAATGTCCTATCATCGATCCTCCAGCCCTTCCAAGCTAGTCGAAGCCGTCGATGAACATTTGCACGGCGCGTCTTTCACGATGAGAATGTTCCGCTCGCTGATATTCTTGTGCAAGGCACCGGCCTTATACGCAATTCCATGGCTTGCTACAGCGACAGTAAATGAAACGCATCGTACGTCTACAACTTCCACACCTTTGGTTGCGTCTCCCAATGCCTCGACCATCTCCCTCGTACTCTTAAAGCTAGAGATTGAGCTTTCATCACGAGTCGCGCGAAGCTGCTTTCTTCGTACTTGATTGCGTTTCTCTTAACCACCGACGCGGATGTGGTACATCTTCCCTCTCGTCGAATCCGCACGGCGCCGGCGATGTCGACTTCTTCAGCGCCGAATCTGGTGTCCGACTCTACTATGTAGTATTAGCTAACTGTCCGCGCACAGTCCTGACGCTCACCCCGCCGGTCGTTAGCTAGTCAAGGGTGGCGAGAGATCGGCAGATCGGTGGACGACCGTAGGCTGCGCTCTCACGAATCCTGACTGAGATGTTAAGTGTTTACTAGGCTAAGCTAATCCGGCCCATTCGTGTCAGATCTGAATATGAATACCCACGCGTCCGACTCTGGCGAGATTGCTGATGCTTAGAGACGACCCGCGAGAATGAGGGAGAGCCTCGTTTTCGTAGTATACTCGTCATGGGTGAGGGCGAATCAAGAAGTGGAATCTGGGGAAACGCTCAGAGAGTACTGCTGCAGTGTAAGTTCCACCGTAAGGCTGGAGGGGTCATGCAATGTGGTAGCGAGAGCACTGAACAGCAATTCCGGCATCTACAGTACAGATCGCGGCTGAGAAAGTTGTTGACACGGCTCTGCACGCCGCGCTCCGAGTAAGTACTGGTCGTCGATTCATGTGTTAGCATTGTTACAACTATCCCTTCATAATTTGTCTGCTAGTATCTGAAACCCGACTCATGCGTGAGAATTTGCGAAGACCGGAAAGATAATCGTTCGTTGCTAACTCAGGCCAATCTGGAAGCCCATTGTATGCAAAGTATATTCGCCAACGTATCATATCGAAGCTTGATGAGAAATTCGAAAACGTTCACCCGGCAGAAAATGACCCAGACTCTATACTTAAGGAGGCATGTTGTTGGGACTGTAGTTAGTCCATACTGAGCCATACGAGATCGAAAAAGTTGTGTCGATTGTCGTAGTTTGAGTACCTCCCTGTAAAGCGTATTCATAATTTAAAAAAAATACGCGGAAAGACAACAGCTCACATAAAGAGGAACCTGAACCGTGAGTTGACCACCAGCCGCCGTGATCATGTTCTGCAGGACATTATTTGCAGTTGTTAAGAACGTCTGTGACTGAGAATTGAAGGCATCTATTACAATTAGTGTGCGTTATTGTATGTCAGTTCATTCAAGTTGCTCGCATTGCTTACTGAGATTAGCCTAGCGTAGGACCGGCGGAACAGTAAGTGCCATAAAGATCACAGACAAAAGAATGGTTTACGTTTATCCAGTTGCTACGAATGAACGGTCAGTTAGATTTTACAGCGCACTAACAACACAGATTAGATCGCGCGTAGATACGTACATATACAATGTGGAAATATCGATCTGCTGAGTCACCCCCATGTTGTTGGAGAGCCAGGTGTTATAGCTAGACCAAGAGCCATGTCAGTGAACTCAAAGAATGGCAATGAATCCACCCAACTCGGAGAAGAATTGAACCCAAATCTGTCGAACCTAAAGATCGCGAAGTGTTATAGTTGGATATGATTGAGTGAGTCGCCTCGTAAAACTCACTGGTTCAGCAACCAAGTAGAACGACTTGATGATGCTAATTCATTTACCAGTCAGCCAATATGGTTGTCCATATATCATCAAGACGCACTCGGGTTCATTCATATACTCGATCGCTAAACCGGCCTTAACAGATAATCAGAACGATATCTAGCAATCATGAAGAACCCTACTTGGCGCATGAGGTATATCACAGTTGCAGGTTTCTTCGCTTGTAATGTACTCTGCTGTAAGGTCAAGGCACGGGTCAGCAACTGCCATTTGCAAGCACAGCACTATTACCTTTCTAAATTGCCGTTTGTTCTGGACTATGAACTTCATAACACGTTGAGCAGATAATTGCACTTCACAATATGAACGACTTACTGCAGCCCTGCAAGAAAAAATTGAGCACGAGATGATACAACTTGTATCCAACGTTAGATCTAAAAGGCTTACTTTGCTTGATTTGCTATCTGATTGAGGACTGCATGAATGTCACTCATTAGTTGGAAGCAAAACAAAACGTTTTCACGAGTGTCATAGACCGTGACGTACATGGCATTGCATGAAGCTTTGCATTGGAGGATGATGGTAGCGCTGACTTCAGCATATTGGCGTAAGTTTCACCTCTGCCGAACTGATCGTTCCAGACAAAATACGTCAGCCAATTGCAGAAACTTGACCTTCCAGCGGCCTGGTAGTTGACATTATTCTGAACTACATCCTATACAAGGCTTTCAGAACAACGCAGCTTGAGAGATTTAACATCACTTACACTGATGAAGACCGTGAGCAGCTATCCCGGAAGTCAGAAACGGAAGACACTGAAAAAACGTGGAGATTGGTCTTACTTGTGCTTCATATACGTGTTCAAGTCCGTATCCCGTGGTTTTTCCTGTTGTTTGAGATCCTGTGTTGGGATTGACCGCTGCATACGGCTTATAGGATGATCAGCTACTGACAAAGCAGGGGAGAAGGGAAAACAAAACTACTAACCTGTGGCTGAGACCATGCTTCTACAGAAACATCCGAAGGACTACAAGTCGTATGAGAATGCTTTCAACGCGGAATGCGCAAGATGCTCACGAGAATGGATTTTCGAGATCATAGTATATGCTAGAGCCGATATCCCTATAATATGGGGGAACGATCGTGCACCTGTGATATAACGATCAGCCACCATCGTGAGAATCTGCGTAGGATAAAGTACCCAGAACAACCTGTCGAAACGAACTGATGACCTGATGTGATGCCATTCAGTGTCAAAAACTGGATAACCTTATTTTGTGCTCGAAGCACTGACCAGCTGGATCCTCGTCATCAAAGAAACGCCGCATCAGCTCATCAGAAACGTCGTCTGGATCTAGATTTGTGTCATCGTCTTGAAGTTCCGCTTCAACGTCGGTGGTTCCATTTACTGCGCTAGGACATGTCATATCACCCAATATTCCGCTGAGGACAGATCTCTTCTCAAAACTCTCATGAAGTATAGGGAGGCTGGCCGAATAGGACACCGTCTGCCAAGGGTTTAAGCTAAAAGGCATCTCCAGATCGTCGGTGCTCGTTGACCCGAACGCCAGCGTGTAGCTGATATTCAATGAGATGAGCTAGCTGAGAACCCAAGGAAGGAAACACGAAACTTGTATATGTTCCAGGTGTTGGTATAGAACGAGAATGGCCCCACTAGACTTGTCCTAGTCGATGCCGACACTTGATCGACACCCTGGATGAAGAATGATCAGCAATATTCCAGCTTCCGCATAGAGCGCTTACACCAGTGAAGTCGAGCGATCCATCTACACTTATTGAAGCCGCAGAGAGATCAACACTAAAATCTAAGGTAAGAGCAGCATCTGCTGCAATGTAGGCTATCGAATGTATGAGATGAATACGAAGCAAAAGGGCATAAATCTACGCACCTGAAGCCCCAAATCCAAGAACGTTGATGCCGAGGTCTGCCTCGGGAATGACATGTATGCTGAGTAGAATTATCAAAAATATACAAGGAGATGCATGCCACGCGGAGACCTACCCAAGAGATCCTCCCAGTTCAATGTTATACTCTGGTGTGACTTGGAATGCTACACGTAAAACAGTAAGCTCACTGGATATTGGTCGAAAGCTGATAACCTACAGGAGGGAGTAGTTGACACCGTGCCGCTTAAACCTTCGTCGGGCTGGCCACCTGGATCCCCATATATACCGTATGCAACTCGCCTTGAATTGATGTCAAACCCATGTTAAAATTAGTGTACAAAATAGAACGCACCCGCTAGGGAACTTGTACGAGGTCTGGAAGGCAAATGTACCAGATGCAGAAACACTGCCTTCCAGTAAGGCATCTAAACAAGAAAAATGTGAACTATTGTCTTAAAATACCTTTTTCAAACAAACTACGCACAGATGTTGAAAGTGGGTCCTATAGTGGCTATAGAAGAGTGAGCACCGTGCCTTTATAAGTGATGAAGACTTACCAATGCCCGCAAAGGAAAGCTTGTAGAATCGTCAGCCGCGCCACCCAAGAAAGATGCCAAATATGAGCTTACACCAGGCCACGAGATTTCGGGAATGATTGCAACTCTCCCACTGGTGTAATCCACCGTGGCACGCCCCGAAAGAACTATCCCGGCGGTCGCAGATGCGTCTGAAGACGCATAGATGTACGCTTGCGTGATTGTGGTGGTAACTAAAGTGCCCTCAAGGTAAAATCCTACACAAGATGAATTATGTTGAGTCGAAACCCGGTTAGCCACCAGAGCATACCATATCTGAGGTGCAGAGCAGCAGAGCCTGATGCAGTGAGATCTATTGATGCAGTGAATGTTGTCGAGCTATCTGCTGATGCACAAGTTTGGCTTGCGGAGAACAGTGTCTGACTGAACGATTGCGAGATTGAAAGATCGGCACTGCTCGATAGCTCCACCTTGTTGAGGCGCGCCAGCCAATCCGTGAAACCTCCGAACCATCTTGCTTCAAGTGTCCCGCGTTTGACAGGGGAATTGGGATCTGTAGTTTATTAGAAAAGTCACAATAGGGCGAGAGAGACGCACCAGCAGTGTCGATTTCAGACCAGTAATCCCTACGATGGCCAACTGTAAGTACTAAGGGTAACGCTTCTGTACGAGAATACGCACGGAATATTTGTAGCATCGACCCGCACAAGGATATCGCCATCCGTCGCGGCATCCCTAGTCTCTGAGCTGTTGGTTTAGAGAGAGCTAAGTTAAGTGTGAGGCTTTCGTAGATATAGTACTTACAGGCGATTGAATTCGTAGTCAAAATGCATTTCGTAAATCGGATTGTTGGCCGGCTTAAGGGCCGACAACGTGGACGATAAAGTCAATTCATTATTGATCTTCAACACAGCAAGGCGCGCGTAAGGACCTGCTCCGCAAGTGGTGGGCATTTTGACGACACTGCAAAGCCAGCGTAAATCCACAGAAACGTAGAAGATTCGAAACTTACGTGTTCTCAGCATCATTCTCAAATACAGCACTACAGCCGGACGAAGGATCATCTTCAGCTTTGCTGCAGAATGCCGTGACGACTTGGTACTCGGCCGAGTTAGTGCATCCGGAAATGACCCAGTCGGAAGACGGATCCACAGAGGAGAGTAGACTGGATGGCCCCTGATTTATCATAAGTCACATCATTTTCTAGATTGCTTGTACGAACTTACATCCATTGCAATGAGCCCGAAAGCATCATTATCGGGACCCTGCCCGCCATCTGGGGCATCCTCGTCGAGTGCTTCGTTTTGCTCGTCCCACGTAAGATCCCCGTTGGCCGGAGGATCTGAAAACAGATCATCCTGGCGAAAGGCTAGGATAAGCAGCGGGTCATAGCATGAGTTTACGAGATACATACAACGTTGAAAGGGGCGTTTGTCGTTATATTCCCTGGCGGGTAACTACGGATGTCCCTGGTCAGTTAACTTGGTAAATCTTGTGTAGGATGAACTGACCAGCAATACGATTTTTCCTGCATCCAACATGCATGGAGTATACTAGAGTCCCCGTAGTCTGTTACAATATCAGTTATAAATTCTACGCAAGACAAAACAATGTACTCACAACTCCTCGCTTGTGTAAACGTCCCGGTGGGGCAGACCTTCGGGAGCAATCAGAAGTCTAGCTAATATGGGTAACGGACAAGACAGTACATTGTTATTGCAGCTACCATGAAAACGTTGTCAGTACGTATGATGGTGCACGTAAGGGAAACAAACTTTTGTGATTGTGAGCCTATCGATAATCTGGTGAGTCATTACTTATCGAAATCGAAGTTCCACTTACCATCTGAGACGTTTGAAGGAATCAATCACGAACTTTCAGGTAAAATATAACGCAGAGAATCCACACTTACACCTGATCGCAGTGTAAGACACTAATTGCGTGACTTAGTAATAGACACTTACCAAGCGCAGTCCGTCCCCTCATTGATTTCTGCCTGAGTCAAGCCGGATTGACAGCAGAACGCCTTGTGACCAGAGCTACATTTCTTTCCGGTCCCCCCTGTAAGGTGGGACGTGAATCAGTCAAACGCGAGATACAGAGGGCTCCACATACAGGAATCGACGGCAAGGGTGATCTCTCCGACTAGTATTACTTAGAGTCAGCAAAGCGGGGTGAAGCACAAGCATGCTCTTACCCTCGCAAACCCCGTTGCAATCGGGAGCTATGTGGCATCAGTCGAACACATTCCGTCGATGTAGTTCCCGGAAGACATTACCTGTGCCGCGCCATTGACATCCTTGTGGTATCGAGCTAGAATGAAAGTAAGTCTGGGAGTCACGAGAATGTACGTTGATGCACGCACTCCACGGGGCAACATACTGGCCGTCCTTGCCCTCCACTGCACCCTACAGAGGGTGAGTACACGCATGGTATCTAACCAGGTGGTCCCATTACCTGACTTAGGATCGGCTATATTGATTCAATGTGGGTGTTCATCAGTCATGCATGACTCGCAACGAAAATGACGTACCCAGTTCTCCATCAGTAACATCTGGCACAGAGATTTAGTATAACGCGTCAGCGCGAAGAACGAAGAAGACGCACCCGTCATTTGAATATATCCTGAGGGACACGATTGACCACACGCCATTTGCATACACTGCTGGCCATCTTGCGAGTTGACATCAGTCGCTTTTGGGACTTGAAGAGAGGAGGCATTGACTCCGAGCACGGCTTCAATAGCCTACAACGAGTTTCATGTGTGCCGTAGTCGCAGTTGAACAGAGGCTGACTGACCATCCCTCTGTGTACAAAAAAAATCAATAGATTGATAGACCTGAGATGATCGTGACGTACGAGAATGTGTCCAAATCCGCTGCCCAAACCATCAAGCCGCCTAATTACAGATGAGTCATATATCTTACGAAATATTAGCATAATGCGTACCGAACCCAGCACCCTGCGCGAAACTGACTTTAGCTGCGAATGTCTCGGAGTCGTCGTAGCTTATCCAGTCTGACTGGGAACAAAGATAAGCCAGACCCATAAGACCAAAGGATACAGAATAAACCTACATCTCCATATACTAGATACATGACCGCCGCTTCGGCATCATGGACGGGAGTAGCATTAGTAGAGCTTAGAACAGTTTGAATCTCGGCATCTATGCAAGTCAAATCAAAGGCCAAGTCTCTGATGCTGAGAAGAAATCACCAACATGAAAGTATACCGGCGGACGCAGTGCATGCTGTAAAAGGAGTCAACGATATGCTTGAATCAACTATGAATTAACTTACGGCCTGCTGGAGCAGGACCGCTGAAAGGACAGCCGGGAGTCGTGCATGACGGATCACTCAGCTGGAATGATCTGCCGTAGAAACCAAGTCCAAGCGTAACGCGGTCGAGAGGAACGTCAACTCGAAGGAACAGCTGCACGCTCTGCTCGATTTCAGTCAAATTTGTGTGGGCTTGCACGATCGCCCCGATGTAGACATCCTTTGCATCCCATACTGTGCGATCTCAGCGTGATAACGTAGGGGAGACTAGAAGCATGCTTACCTCCGTGCAGATCGTACGTCATGAGATTGACCCAGTCGGCGGAAGCTAACAAAGCCGGCAGATCGAAATTTTGGAGGTACCAAAACGAGCTTGGTGCTGTGAAGGTGATCCCGAACGTGTGACCTGAAGCGTCAAAAACGCTACGTAGAGCGGCTAGAAGCAGTGGGTAGTTTTGTACGTCAGCAGGACCGCCTCCACGATCGCATGCGCCTATCAAGTGTGTCAGTAGAGCAGCGACACCGAAAGGTAGGTGGGTGATAACCAACCCGGATATTCCCAATCAATGTCCACGCCATCAAAGCCATACTCAAGCATGAACCTACACATTCAAGATCAATCTACAAAGATATGTGATGCGTAAGCAACAGCTCACGAAACGAGGGACGTTGCGAAAGCAACTCGATTCTCTTGAGATGAGGCTACATCGCTAAACACGTTCTGTGTCGGGGGGTCGTTGAATGACCAGCCACCTATTGGAAAGTGAGCTCTTTTCTGATATCACTATGTCGACGAGACTTACCAACGGAAATATATGTCTTCAGATTCGGATTTGATTGCTTGAGATTTGTGAAATTTGTGTATTGCGCAACGTCACTTGCACTCGCAGGCAGCACTACATATGAGTTCTGGTAACAAAGGTAAGCGAGGGCCAACGAAACGTCAGCTGGTTAACATACAGGATCAATCCCCGCAAAGGCATAGTACAGATGAGTGTAGGCTTGTGCCAAGATGGTTTCAGGATACCTTGAAATTATAAGTCAAACAAGGATGGAGAAATGTTCTGCGGAGCATACCAAGCATCACATGCACGAGACGAAGCCCAGCCCTGCAACATTCGTTCAGTCAAAGTGCGATTATGTGCTAACTAGATATTCTTGACCTCATAGTAACCAATCACTCGCGATGTGGCGGGACCATTCTGACCGGAAGGAATAGTCGGCTGCCCACAATTTGGCGGTACGCATCCCGTGCCGCAGAAATCATCAGTGGTACCGCACTACACAAGATTAGTTGATGACTCAAATGATACAAAAGGAGAGCACGAGACACTTACAAAGCCGAACTGGCTACAACAAACGTTGAGAGGACAGGTTTGATTGCCTGCTGGCGCATTGGGACCACATTCGGCCTTGGCATCACAGTTTGACAGGCATCCAGTTCCACAATATTCGGTTCCGTATCCGCAATACCCTGACGCGCCACTTGAAGTGCATTTCAGCTTGCGGTCGAATGAAGAAACAACAAACGAACCAGCATGCGCCATTGGGGCATGGCGTGTCAGACGTACAGGTTCCATCGAAGCTGGGAGGAACCGCAGTCGAGCCATCACAGACTGGATTGCTCTGCTGTCTGGCGGTCAAACCAGAAACAATTCCTCCATTCATATCTTCCCCGCGTTTAGGTTTCCTGTATTGATGATGCTGCCCAGTAGCCCGAATGGGTGGTGACCTGTATGAGCCTCCATCGTCTCTAGGTTGTGTTGAGAGAGGTTCAACACTTCCGCGAGCGTAGCTACGGCTTGCAGCACGTTTATCACGATAATTGCGAGCGAGTTCTCGACGATGTTTAGCGACGGGAGGTGTGATATGGTAGGACGAGACGCGACCCTCGATATTCTCGTGAAAATTGAGAGAGCGAGGGCGGACCTTTGGACCCCCTTCGAAGTGCTCGAGAGGGCCGGCAAGTACGGACCAGATGAAGAATAACAAGAAAAGCGCAAAGATACCGAGCAAACTGCGCCAGGGCGGCATTGCAGCTTTGAGAATGCAGAAAGTACAGAGCGTGCCCAACTATCAAACGTTATCTTATATACTGTAAGCACGAAGCAAAATACGGATGTTGACGCACGCACCTGGCCACATCCTCGTTCGTATATCTGGGCAGTCTTATTCTGTTAGGCTTACGCATGGTCGTAGTGTGATTCCCAGGCACAATGTGATTGATGAAAACGAGTGGGAGTCCCGCATAAAGCGCACAGTGATGTTAGTGAACGCGCAAGAAACACGCCCGAACTAGGTATTAACTCGGATTTGAGCGCGACCGATGACAGCGCGTGAGCATTGCCGAGCGTAAGGCGTTCACCCAAAGCTCACCTGTTCAAAGTAATTGCACATCGTGATGAAGACAGCGAGCGCATCGAAATGGAACGCGTACCGTTGCCTTCCCTGACTCATTCGCCCATATCTCCAGTATACCACTAATTCGGTAGCAAGAGCTTGAATCAGGAATATCTGTGGTTCATCAAACGGGTCGGACGTAGCGCGGCCATCTTCCCTAAGTTCTGAAGGTTGCTAGCGTCTGCTTAGGAGAGATCGTCGGGAGGGTGACCGCGCGCCATGCCCAATCACTAGACGCCAACCAAACGCTAACAGTTACAATCAATTACTTACAACGACGGTAAGTACGACGTGTAACTCCGAGTGACACTTTCCCCCAGATCGACTGTGGCAGCAGTGAACTAAGTACATCACTCCCTCAATTAAGCGTACCACGATCGAGCTCTGAGCTCCACATTTATTTGGCTACTGCTTGACCCTATAGTTTCGGAGTCCAATATCACTAAGCCTAACGATTCATATGTTTCCGAGTCTCTGTCCTCGTCATATACATTCCCTTCTGCGATGACTTCCACATGGTTGAATGAATGGATGGACATGATATTGTAGCCGCAGGTAAAGTTCCCGTCAATTTCCATGCACCCGTTGTATTCATTTCTCTGCACTAAGGGCATGATCCGTAGCCATCATTGCAAACTACGCTCCCGTCCAGGGTCCTTGCAAGGCGCCATCGACGCCGCCCATCTATCTTATTGTCTTTTTAGACACGTCCGGTTTGATGTCGGTCGTTTGCCATCTCTGCTACACATGGAACGTTTGCTGTCAGCAGGTCGCGATGACGCCCCTGGTCCCAGACCGTTTACAAGCTTATGTGACAAATGCGCTCGCCCCTCCCCGCAGATCAAGTACATAACCAGTTTGCGATACGGGCCTTGACGCGTACAAGATGGTGCTCGGACTCCCTTTCGCCTGCGCGGCCGCCCTTATACTGTTCGTGCGGAACACCATTGCGCAGTCCGACAATTCGACCTTCAGTCTCTATGCCAACGCGTCCGACATCTACCCACCGCCCTCTTCTCCTGAATGCGCTGAAGCACTCTCGTCTTCGATTCAGTGCTCGGAGCTGCTGATCGATGCTATTCCTTCCTCCAACCTCGGACTTTCTAATCTTACGGCTTCGGACCTTGGCACTCTCTGTGTCCCAACATGCTATGATAGCTTGATAACTGTAGCATCTAACGTTGACAGTGCATGTGGAGGATGGCCCTTCATTATTTCGGATACAAGTTACATTGCATCCTTGCCATTCCGCTATTTCGCTTACTACTGGAATTTGGTTCGTCTCGTTAGAATGTCATGAAGGTTGAACTGCCGTGACATGGTGCGCTTGATATACAGACGTGCCTTTTCGATAGCTCCGCATCCGAGTATTGCTTAACAGAAGACCAGGTTTTATTTTCACCACTTTTCCCTTCAATTTCATGCTCATTCCCTGCTTTAGTCCTCGGTATCCAATACCGATCAGTCTATTTTATCCCTTCCTCTATCACAACTTTGTGGATTTTGCAATCTCCAGGAACTTAATATCCAAATGACAAGTGCGTTCGGATGGGATGGATCATTGTGAGTCGCTTTAATCCGCATATCTTGTCTTCGCCTTCATATTCACCCTGTCCGCCCTTAGTGTTCCTGAATGGGAAATCATACAGGGAAACTGCTCGTTTACCACAAACAATGCAATCCCGAGTGCACTTTTGTTCAACGCGTCCAACCCTCTTGCAGCGAACGGAACGACCGCAAACGTGACCGCGTATGTGATAGCTTGTTTCGAACAGGACAAACTCGCTGTTAACAATTTTTGACAGTACGCCGACGCTCACTCCGGCATCGAACTCGAGCTGCGTCTTTGGTTCGTACACAATACAGGTGATTTTCCTTGTCTGGTCGAAGTTGATCATTTTTGACGTTTGTTGATAGAGTGGTGATACGTGCACGTCCATTGCTGCCGCCAAATCTCTATCATACGACCAACTCGTATCCATCAATGGTCTAGATATGAATTGCACCTTGCTACCTCCGCCCGGAAGCGTCATTTGTCTCTCAGGAGTATGTCCGCTGTACACCGTCCAACAAAATGACACCTGTGTATCAATTGCAGCAGCGAAGGATATCGCCTGGTATATTTTCTCATCTCTGAACCATTTCTTGCGTCTAATCGCTTTTTATTTCAGGTCCCAGTTACTTGCGTGGAATCCGTGAGACTTGATATGTTCTTTTCTGCGCTCTCCACCTGAGTCTGTTTACAGTCAAATCAATTCATACTGTAGCAACCTCGTAATGCAAGTCGGGGAGAGTATCTGTGTCGGGTAGGCTCTGCGCTTCTGTCTTCGAATCTGAAAAGGCCAATCATTCGCAGACCACCAGGAGGAGGTTATAAGCCGACCGTGACTCAATCTGTTGTTACAGGTATGCAGCTGATATGCGTGATTATATCAACTAATGCATATTTCAGGAAGCCCAACTGCTCTTGCGTGAGCAACAGCAGACTTCGAATTAGACACAATCATCACCATATGACGTTTTAGGATACCTACTGCGCCAGTCGCCCCAGGAGCCGACCGAAGTATCTGCGGTCTTTGGTACACAGCTGTAACTGGTGGTATGTTTCTTGCACGCGAGATAAAAAGGTTTTTTTGATTAAAATTATGATCTACAGATACCTGCCCGCAGGTTAGCCCCGCGTATCTTTGGTGTATGCCTTTGATCGAATTCTGTTTAGATCTTGTCGGTATTTCAATTGACAAATGAAACATTCTATGAGGTAAGTCCTGAACATTTGCAGTGCATTCATCACTGACAATTGGAATCAGTTGAACCCGGACGTGAATGGGGATGTATGTCGGCTTGTTCTCGTAGAGGATAACTTATGCATTCATGGCACAGTGCAGTAACCTTCTCGCAGGGTTCTCTTACTGTGTCGCTGTTTACGGAAGTCAGCCGATCTATATACTGAAATCTTGTTCGCGAATTGACGTTTCTTCTAGATACTACGACAACAACGTCCCTGTTCGCAGCGCCAACAACCCCCGGAATTCAGTTCATTCAATACATTGGTATGTAAGTGACCATGGGTGTATTTCCCACTTACGAAATTTCGATGTCCACTGGCAGCCGGTGATTTCCCAGCAATGGCGGGCTACTTGACTGACATAGCGAACGTAACCGCCACACCGAGCTTGCCTCCGACCACGACGGTTCCCTACACAACCACTCCAACGGTGAACGCCACCATCGCACCGGGATCACTGAATGCGACGCAGTGTCTCCTATGTAAGTCACCCCTGCTGCTCGTTTCCTACGCATACTTACGACGCGATAGACTACGAGGTCCAAGTCGGTGAGCTTCACGTTCCATATCTGCTACTCTCTTTCCAATGGGTCATAGGTGATTCTTGCCTTGCGATTGAGGATGTGTATGATATCTCGGAATCACAGCTTTTGACGTGGAATCCTGAGGTTCGTCCTAATTCCACGTAAAATTCTCCCTCTTCACGTCTCTTTTCAGATAAACGCAGGATGTAGCAACCTCGTGGTCGGCTGGAGCTACTGTGTATTCGGTCTGGGAGGTTTCACGCCAACTTCCATCACGATACCTCCATCTTCGACCACCAGCACAACGTCGACGTCGACAACCTCTAGTGCATCTGCTATCCCTACTAACGTCGCAAATGGGACAACTACCTCAGGCTGTTTATGTATGTCGCTCATTTCTCCCTGTGTTCTGCCACTGATCATGATGGTAGTGTACTATACTGTTCAATCGGGAGATTCGTGTGGTGGTATTGAGTCTAACTTCAACATTACCCTTACTCAGTTCATTGCTTGGAATCCGGAAGTGTGAGTGGCACTTGTGTGTCCATCTAGCTTACGCTGACGTTCTCTGTAGCAACAGCCAATGTGAGTCTGCATCTGTTCAGTATGTCAGACGCAATGACGATATCCTTTGCAGGCACCAACATCGATGTCGGGCTTGCATACTGTGTCAATGGACCTAACGTCACGACGACGACAACGACAACGACAGCCTCACAAACTCCTTCTGCAGCCCCTATCGCTCCAGGAACGTATGTAACTTATCCTTGAATGTTTCATGTCCGTAGCTCAAGTCACAATCTGTCCAGAACATCGAACTGCTCGCGTTTGTGATTCGATACGATCTCTAAAGCTTCGCTGACCCTCCTGTTCGTTCTCTGATTGTCCAGAATACTACACTGTCGTGTAAGCAGCCTTTTTCCGACGAAGTCTTATCTCGCTTATCTTTCCCAAGATCTGGAGACTATTGCAGCCTGATTGACTCTAAGTTCGGGATCACCATCACCCAATTCCTCGCGTGGAACACGGGTGTCGATGCAAACTGTAGATGCTGTCTTTAGATCCTATTCGCTGTTCCTTCCACTCACATATCTAACAGGTGACAACCTCCTTCTTGGGTACCAGTATTGTGTGGCTGGTCCTCCTGTGTCCACCACGTCAACGCCAGCAAGTACGACGACCAGCCCTACAGCGAGTCCCACCGCTTCTGGGACAACGTGAGTTTGTCGCTTCGTATGGGCTAACCTGACGTACTGACCATGTTACCCAATCAGCTCTCAATGTACAGGTATGACGTAATATCCACCTCTGTTTTGCACTTTTTAATTGACCGTAATGTTCACAGAGTACTATACCGTCCAGTAAGGTGGCTTTACACCCGAAAGTTAGCATCTAATGTCCTCTGCGTGTGCATCCAGATCCGGCGATACCTGCTACTCGATTGAGCAGCAGTACGACATCACGGCGACTCAATTTTTGGCTTGGAATTCGGGGCTCAACTCCAACTGTGCGTGCAACAGTTTTATGGCTCGTTGTTTAACAACTCTAAATTCGATGCAGGCACCAATCTGGAGCTCGGTTATGAGGTGAGAAGAAGCGATGATACCCGACGCTGAGGGCTGACCCTTCCATCCATGAACAGTATTGCGTTGCGGGCCCTTCTTAGATGTCCGCTCGCTGGCTTGATGCAAACAAATTGCTTTGATATTAGTTTCTTTTGGTGTTTAGTGTACAGTGTACAGTGTACCTACTACAGACAGAGGATCACAATTCTCTTTTCCATGTTGAAATTGCCTTAAAATGCAGAGTTTACCTTACCTTGATTGCAACCAGCTCCCCACTCCCGTCAGCATCTCTTCGCCCCTCGACTCTGTATCCACCATCATCACCTGAGAAAACAGCACCTCCAGGAACTGCGAGCACGCGCGAATCGCTGTCAAGAAGATGGTCCATGAGTGTTTCGAGCATGACTGCAGAGTCAACGTCTCCCCCGACGCCGTGTAAAGCGCCCCCGTCTTCGAATGCGGACGCTAAGAAGGCGCCGGCGACACCACCATCCACGCTGAAACTACCCAGTTCCTCCCATTCGTTAGTCTGGACGGCGGCGTGGCGTTCACCTTGCGAATGCACGTGCTGCTCAGATATTGGATCTATCCAAGTGAGCAGGACTTCTGTCTCAGATACTTCAGAGACGTGCCATCGGCCAGGCTTGAGCGAGGTGATGCTGAGCTCGAAGTCTAGTCCGTCTTTGGAGAGCTGCACATCGCCGAGCATGAGAATGTCGGTCGATTCGGCCACCTGGGAAGCGTGAGCCTTGCGACTTCTCGTCAGCCCGAAAGAGCGACTTACCTTAAAGACGCGGGCGTCGTCCGACGAGTTCATCTCCCCAACAAGAGCTTCTAGGGTTTTGATGACAAGCAGTGGGTCAGGGACTGGCTGGATCTCGGGAGAGACGATCGGATCCTGCCCTGCAGAGGTGGCCCTTTCGTTCTTGTCCCTACGCGCACGAGCAAGCTTGTCTTCAGGTATGCTTACGAGCCCGATCCAGTGCGCAAATTTAGTGCCAACGCCATACGCATCGGTCGTAGATGGTGCTGAAATCGAATGGCTTCCCGTCTTGCTAACATCTATAATGAATGACGTAGACAGAAACCCAGCAGGATGCAAACAGTGCAGCATCCTCGTGGACGGGTCGTATCCCCAAACGGCTGTAACAAACTCGGTTAGAACCTGCGACCGTGCTTTCTTCTTGGGCCGCTCGGTGTGCGATTGAAGGGGCACAATAGAATATTGGACGACACGACCGAGGAGGGATTGAGCTTGCTCATCAGCGAGAGGAAAAGGCAACCTGTCTTCGTCAGGAACGAGTTGGGCGAGGTCGTTAGAAAGTTCTCCAGCTAGGAGAGTATTCGTCCCATAAGGAGACACGTGTGTGTCCAAGGGGACATATATGTGTGAAGCTACAATGGGTGGACTCGAGATGTCTGGCAAGATGTCTTTCCCAGTTCCTGTATATTTGAGCAGCGGAACCGGATAATAATTTGTGAACTTATACGCCGGTGTTGTCGGCTCTGGGGTGTCTGAGACGCTTGTACTAAAGGCAGAAGGAGGGATTGGGGAAATCCAGGAAGAGGGTGTCGTTATAAACCAATCCGGGAGTAGTCTGCGCCATGGAGGAGTGGACTGGGCAGGAGTTTTCTTGGACAGAATGTTTCGATGGTCACTACGAACGTACGAAATGGTGAACTCTACCCGTGCAGTGTCAAGTTTCAACTGGTCTAGCATCGACCGAACAGAATGCTTTCCAGCATTTTCAGAAGAAAGAAGCGTAGTTTCACTCTCGCTCGCGACGCCTTCCAATACTTGTGAGGGCACAACAATATCGAAGTCGAGGGACGGTAAGAGTGGGTGCCGATGTCTCTTGTTCGCGCGTACGCGAAAACGCAAGAATGCGATTCTGAAATCTTCGTCCAGATTTGTCTCAACAGGAATCGTGTCCCAATTGTCATTGACTCGCAAGGGCTGAAAACTCGAAGTTGTGTCCCGAAATATGAGAGTGATCGAGGGAGATGCAGGTTGCGCAGGCTCAGTCCACCATTCCTGGGAGATTTTCTCGAGAGGTAGTATCATCGACGTAAGGGTCTTTTTGACCATCTCCACAAGTGTTCTTATCCCCTCATCGGACGGAAACGCTTCTCCCACTAACATAACTGTTTCCGCTAAAATTACCGCCTACAAAAGCATTACTGCGTCGGCGGGACTTAGCGCAGATTGTGTTATGACAATGCTCACCTCATTGAAAACATAGGCCCATTGAAGATCTTCCCTAATGGATTTCAAGAGACGCGTTAGTTCCTATGGACGATAAAGTGCAAGGTGAGCTTCGGGTTACTGTGGGGTTAAGAAACTAACTGACTGCTGGGTTTTTGGCTGCTATCGCAGCTCGAAGGGCTCCGTTCAACTCCTGTGCCTTGGTTTTGCAGTGCATCATGACGGTGGGAGTCAACCCAGCCCGCTCATAGCTGCATCTGGGTGCGACCCAGTGCCACCGACTCCCGGGCGTTGATCATGTCACGGAAAACCCCGAGGCCGATCGCATCATATGCGCCCAGGCCCAGCTTGAGTGAGAACAACATTGACTGCTTGACTTGATCCTGAAAAGCCGATCCGTATTGTGCGATATAGTAGAACACATACAATAAGCGATATAGTGGCCCAGCCAAATACGCAGAATACATGAAGCATGCATGGGTGGATAACCCCTCAGAAAGCTTGTTTATCATGTCCATTCTTGACTTGCAGTGGCAATAGATTGAAGACAGAACATAATGACTTGGAGCATATTGAGGGATGAACACTCGCCTGAATATGTGGCCAGCATGTTGGACAAACTGCAAGCTCAACGAAAAAGAATCTCCAACCTACATTTGGTTATCACGCAACCGACTGACGAGTTATTGAAACAAGCGAGCGACACTGGCTCCCTGCGGTCTGCAGATCTTTTTTTTTGGAATATTAAGTGCTAGTAAAGCGTGTACAAAAGGATTTCGTCACGATGAAGCGCATCATATCTCGCGATACCTATACATCTCCCATCAAATATATGAGCAATTGGGAGAGATAGCATTGAAGTCAGTCAACGCCAATTAGTTTTCATGATGGTCGAAAACAAAGAGTGGCGGGTCGAAGCACAAGGCAAGCCTGTGGCAGGATCCAAGCAAACACGGGCCGTGATCAACGAACGAGCCACATCTTTGAGTGGTAAAGGTCGGCCTCTTGCTTCCCTTCGTACTTGAGTCAAACTTGGCCTCTGTTGCGCCTCTGCAGTATGTATCAGTGAATTCAATTGCGACAACGCAAGATACTATATAGGCAACACATAACGCACCTCAAATCATATTGAATGGTACGTTCAAACCCGCCGCCTCTTCAGCCACAACTTCGCTTACTGACCCACAAGCCACACTCGTACCAACCCTGCCCAACCTTGCATCCCGCCACATTTGCCAACCTGCCACACTCTCAGTCTCTTAAATTCGCTAATCCCCCTCAGCTGCTAGTCATGTTGACCACATCGTCCTCGACCATATACTCCAGTTCCCATTCCACCCGCTGCGTTACATCCGCCTCTAAACCTGTCAGCCACTCTAATTCCTCGAGCATGGGTGACCGCTCTACGCCTTGGAAGAAAAAGGCTATCA